AAATGCACATCAGCTAATTGTACACCATAGACTGGCCCATGGGGTGGCGGTTTCACTATCTTCTCTGTTCTCATTCTTACTAATATAGTTCCGTAGTAACGTCCTTTGTGTTATACGGTCATCGAAGCATCAATAGTACCTTGATACGTCGAAGGGGCAATCCACGTTAGGTGCTGACCACGAGGTGTGACTTAGATGTTAGCTTTTTTTACACCATTCCCGTTTAACTCGAGTAGGCTCCCAATCATTTGACATAAATGATCTACGTTAGCGATATATATTGTGTCTCCGGGTTCTGGGTGTTGCCCCTGAGGTTTGACTTGTAACCTGTCTTAAGGAGATGCTCAGATGTGTTTAGAATGTTTTAATTCGTTGGAAGGTCATATCTAAGACGCTTATACTATAGCGGGGAAAGGTTCACCGGTTTGACGCGCTCTTCATAAAGATTGAATTTGAGTCCCCGGTAGAGGCAAGTAAATTCTCAGAATACGTAGTTCTGTGAATCCTCGGCATTTATACTGACCTTATCATTTTCACGGGACACACCTGGTTGAAAATGCTCGGTTATTCATTCGCACCAGATCACGAGTGGGTACGTCGTGCCACACATCTCTTACAACCTTCAACCAGCTTAGAGTAAACGCCTCCCGATATATCGATAGTCTTTCAAACATATTTCCGAACCTCTTCATTTCTGATTCCTGAGTTGGCTGGGTTGTTATACTTCAATTTTAAAGGTGTTACATGTGAAGGCATTGTCAAACTCCAAATACCTGTGGCACCCTGAACCGAGCTGATTTCGTGGCTCGCCGTTGGATACGTTCCAATGTATCCTTCAGATCATAGGGTGCCAACGCTCCAACTTGGAATATCTTCAGAGAGGGACTACCCACTTAGTGTTCGTAGTCTACGACATATTCCAGATGAACTACTTTACATTTTGAGGTGTTAAGTGCAAGTCCGTTGTTGTCCGCCTGACTTCGAAGTCGAGTGAGATCCTTCCGAAATGTCAGCGTATCATATTGTTTGCAAACGTCGCTCCACAGTTTCTTAATATCAGTGAAAAGTAATAGATCGGATGATGCATGCTGAAGAAATCGTTTACATAAATTACTAGAAGAGGTTCTAATACTGAACCCTGTAGGACCACACTAAGATATTCCTTAGCCCGAGGAAAAGTTAAGTTTAACCTGGCCCTAAATAGCCGATTATTTATGATACGTTATGAGTCAGTCAGTTAACAGTGTTTTGATATCTAACCGTTTAAACTTATTGATATGATTGACCTTACCAAAAACTTTTGAGAAGTCAAGATATATGACGGCAACCTTCTCCTTGCAATCGAGGATAGTTGACCATCTGTCCACTACATTCACCAGGTTGGTTATACAAGAATGACCCTTCCTGAAACCGTGCTGTTAGGGTAAAATAATTTTATGAATAGCAGGTAGTCAAGCAGACCATCGCATATCAGGGATGGATTATTAATCAGCCTTCTGTATGATGGTAGGAATATTTTCGTTACGGTTAATCTGTAATAGTTGTATTACAATTTAATGAACTCGACTTTGGGTTTCGTATAATTGTACAGTACTTGGTTAGAATTATGGTCTAGTTCGTTATTAGTGCTACGATAACAATAGACCTATTCCTAAAAGCATAGACTTGTCATAATGTGATTTCTTAATCTACTGGATCTTACGTGAAATTCACATCATTGTTTACATTGACTCATCGCATCGTAACAATTAATACGATTCTTAGTACTTCTGAAGAATATATTTAGGCCGAAGATAGGACAATATATTTAATATGAAGATAAGCTATACAGAATGACCGCGTCTATGAAGCTGAGCCATGCCTTCCGATTGAATGCATGAATATTTCTGCGATCACCACTGTTGTTCTTCTCTAAGTGTCAAAATTTGAATATCTATTTTCTCTTTTATCTCAGGTTCAGCTTTGGGAACTGTGTGGTTAGGACTAATATCACTACAAGTTCATTCGAAGAAGTCAGATACTGTAGTTAACTACTCTCAATAAATGTCTCGTGGTTTAAATACTTAGAGGCCTCAGTAATAAGGGTAGATACTGTTCTTCGAATTCTTCTGGCAGACCAGTCTACAGACGCGATGAGATATCACTGAACCCTAGACAAATCGTCAGGTAGTCAGGTCACTGCATGTCGAGCAGTTTATCGATTCGCATCAAGGTCAAGGCAACCTCTGCGCATCAGTTAATTGCGCGCCATGGACTGGCTCACGCAACAGTGATCGCACTTTGTTCCCTATACCTGCATTTAACAACATATTCCTGTAATAACTTTTTTTGTTTTGTACGGTCATCAAAGCAGCCGAAGTACTTGAACATGCGAAACGTTAATCCACGTTAGGTACCAACCGTGAGGTGTGACTTCTACGACAGATGATTTTTGGAACCATTCCCGTTTAACCCGAGCACGTCTTCAATCGTCCGACACAGATAATCTACGTCGATGACCTACAAATCTTTTCTAGACAGCGGTTGACCGCTGATGCAAAGCGATACAGTCTTTGTCAAAAGAATTCGACCTAGAATTTTGTGAATGTTAAAATCTATGTAGCTAAAGAGGTTCGAAGTTATTTGACACAATGCATAGAAATGCCCAAATGTTAATAATCCCTCAATCATCTTGTACTTCAACAACTGGTATCCAAACGTTATTTATCAGGCATCCGTCTGTACCTTGGTGTCTAATGTGTATCTTAATGCAACTGAAGCCATTATTATGCGATTCCTGAAGAAAAAGTCATTCCGTTAACTTCGGCGGACATTTTTGAACCATGAATGTTTTTCCCTTCGGTTTGTGTAATTATTTAAAGACTGTCAGCCAACACCGAGCCTGCTGAACTCAGATTTCAAACTGTCAAAGTTCAAGGGCCTTAAATGTTATAGAGAAGTGAGAGTGGGCAAAGATGTGTACTATTCCTGGAGAAAGACGAAATTAAGGTATGATAATATGAATTATTAATAAATATTGTTGAGAGGCAGAATTGAATACGTCTTTAAGTACATTGTAGTGGTCAGTGTATGTCCATAATTAGTAGCTCAATAGACAATCAGCAGCAATGCTGTCCTAGTCTTCGAGTATTAGTGATCCACTTGTTTTCATGAGGCACATTTATAACCAAAATACGTGTTCCAGTTATCCCAAGCAGTCGGGTTGTGTCAACTCACTTATGCTGCTATTTGGACGACCTTTCTATCACTTGTATCGCAATGAGTCATCGTAGCTCTTCTATACGCATTTCTAATTTCCCTGAGCGAGTTAAATAGGTCATTTTGTTAGCTCTGGCTAATGTCTGTTAGCAAGGATTTTGGAGATTGTGTCGCTATCATACTGCCCACCCGTCCTCTTTTATACAGCAGAAACCCAAAACGACTACGGGTGGAGATTCAAATATAGATAGCTTTAAATGATTAATTTTGAAAATTACACTATTATATGCAGCCCTTATATATTAAGTTTATGGGAAAATGCTAGATATCATACACCTACTGGGCACTGAGAAATGATTGCTCAAACACTTTTTGCTGTCTGGTAGCTAGAATACAGGCTAACCTAAAATATATCAACAGATTCATGATTAAACAGGAATCGATAAATCAAGGAGTTTTGTCCTTCCAGACTTCTCATAACACTAGACAGCTGGACGACTTTCTGAGACCAAACGGCCTATGTAGAACTCGTTGACTTCGCTAAGGCTTTTGACAAAGAGTCGTACTCAGTTGTAACAAGGGTTTTAAAGATGGATTCCACTGACATGGTCTTAGAGAAACTTACCAAACCGACCCTCATGCATACTGTGATGTCGAGGTCCTTTTACGACCGTCAAGGACCTTACAGCGATGATGGAATGTTTGAAAACATAACCCCTCAAAATTTCATGTCATTAACATTACGCTTCACTGTCAACAGACAACTTACGTCCTTCATGTGATTCCGCTCCTAAATGTCTCCCCAGCAGGTGATTTCGGGCTGCTAACAAGAGAGCTTAAATACTGGCCTAAAACACATTGGACATAGAGCTGAAACAAATATAACCCTTCATTTTGTAAGAAGACAAAATATTGCAACCACCCCAAAGCTGTTTTTGACACCGTCTAGGACGTACTCACGGTCTTATCTCGAAGTCCACAACGTTACACACTCCCATCTTCTAAAGAGACATAAGTCTCTTAGGTCGAATATAGAGAAGGGCAGCAAAGTGGGTGGTAGTGGATACACTTTAACACAGGATTATTATCGCCGAACTATATGAGAATAAGAGATTTGTTAATGGCATGCAACATATCATGTAAGTCTGTTCACCACAACACAAAAATCATACCAGAGCTTCAACATTACTCTCCACGAATAAAACCTCAGAAATTTCACATCAAAAAGCGAAAGCTCATGTACCCTTTAACTTTTTAACTCGCTTAATTGATGGCTTCAACATTTACTCACTCACTCATGGGTTACCCTCTCTTGGTTACAACAGTTGTGTCTGATACATGTCTCTTAACCTACACACTATTATTACTGTCATCATCACACATCATCAGCTAGTTCCTACCCCGATGATTATCATCTTTGCTGGTCTTCATATTCTTACACTTCAGTCTACTCACACTGTCTGCATTACCAGTTAATTAACTTATTAGTGAATTAATTAATTTTCTGAAAAAGTCGCCTTATCTGAGCATTTAAATTTTCCCCACATTATTTTTCATGACGTAACCAACCAGCAGCTTGTTAGTTAATGTGGAGGCTGACGGTTCCAGAAACTTAGTTGTTCTTAGACTAAGACATTAACTTTGATTACAAGATGCACATACCTGCAAGTAGTCCATTCAAGTGGCTAGAATACTACTCGTAAGACACCATCAAAGATCCGGAACCATACAGAAATGAAAGAAGACGGGCTCAATGAAATCAACCTGTGTACATGAGCTTGTCACAAGGATATTGGATTCAAGTACACATTGCCCGCCGTCTTCTAGTCACTCAAGGTCGTACCGACGAGAGGTAATACCAACCTGTGGCTGTCTGAATTACCTACCCTAGTTGGTGCCCATCAGGCTGCGCTCGACGAGACTATAATTTATGGACGAACCAATCAAATTTACGATAACAGGTCTCGAATTTCGGCTCTAATTTTACTCATTCATTTGGTTAAATATAGTTTTGACATTGTAGCTTATGCCAGTTCGTGATGAAAACCATATATCGGATTGCTAATACTAACCATAAACTGTAAATATTAATCCTTATTCCTCACGCTGATTTATAATCCTCATTTAGCCGTAGTATGTAGGTGGACTCCATAGCGTCACTCAAAGGTCGTCCATAAACCAAGCTCCAAATTTCGGGAAAAATTTGACCCATTTTTGGGGAGCCGCTATAGTGAACTTTGGGGAAATGGCACAAAAACCCCGAAATTTACCCAAACCCAGGGAATTTCCTCAATATTTCCCCAAAGTTCCCCGTTAACCTTGGTCAAAGTCATTTGACTTTGGAGATTTCCCCAGAATCCCCCAAACATTGGTGAAGGTCATTTGACTTCGGGAGTTTTCCCAAAATACCCCAAAATTTATAAATCATTGTCATCGTGAATGCACCGACAATTCTCGATCTTCTAAATGGATTGAGTGTTGGCGTAAGTTTGTTGGGGTTGTGTTTCAATGTAGAAACATATTTATAAATGTGTTTTCTGTAGAGCATTTTGCATGTGCAATGTTATTTAAGAGCTTATTTAGGTCAGTGCCTAGTTTGAGTATATGTAATCGACAAAGCCACCAGACCTGAGATGTCTTTCACTACATATGTACCTTTAAGTATGTTATCCGTCTACTCTTCTTTTGCTTTAGGTCGGATGGCTCCTGTAAGAAAAACTATCTCTTCTCGACATCCTTCTGATCGCTTTTCCAAGAAGCATATTCGTAACGAGGATGGGTCAGTATTGGTTGTAAGTAAGAAAATGAAGAACATAATAAAACAAGACCTTAAAGCACAATCCATAACTAATATGCTAACTGACGATCCTAATTCCGAAGTGAGTAATTTTGGTTTCATTCCACAAATATAAAGAGACTGAAGGGCCATTATAACTTTAATATTTCAACATAAAATTTTGACTTACCTTATGCTCTTCAGTAACGTTCTCAGGTTGAGATCGCCACTAGCCTAATTTCCTTCTCAGGGCCTTCAAAGTGTTATTAATTGGTAAATATCAACCTCTTACATACCTCTAACCAAAATCTAGTTCACCTGAACCCAATTACCTTAAGAATCTGGTTCCCCTGCTCTGAGTGTGAATCCTGTATTGTGCAAATTGTTACTATTCGTACAGTAAGTGTAGTTCGTAATTAAAATGTTCGACGTTTCACCGACCGATCACGCATGTTTTATTTGCAGTATAGTCAAAATATCGCTTTAATCGTCCGACTATTTTAGCATTTGATGATAGAAGAACTAGAGGTCAAATATGTATTTTTTTGTGTCTCATTATTATTGACGACAAATAATATGTGCTGATTGTAAATATCCACTTCCAACTTCTTTGTTATTTATTATCCTTTTTAAATAGGATCATTCGAACCCTTCTCACTCGTCTTTTAAACACGCCTTAAATCCATATATTGAATGTAGTGATAACAACAGTTTGAGTAAACCTTGCACTCGTTTATCACCTAATAATACTAATATGCATCGAATTGTCAAAAAAGTTCCTCGTAAAAAGCGTCTCAAATCTAAATTGCATTCTCATTTTAATCGCAATCAAAATTTAAAATCAACCTTACTTTCTATGGAAAAAGATATAAAAGGAGAATCTCGTGAAAATCAACAATCGATAGTGCACTTTTCTACCGATCAGTCAGCTTTCGTAAAGTCAAATGGAATGCGTATTCAAAAGTCAAAATTGAAATCCTCACAAAACCAACAATCAAACGTTGGCGCTAATTATATTGAAGAAAAAAGACCATCATCGTAAGTTATACAACTTGTTATCGAGTTCAAAATACCAAACACATTTCTTGCAAACGAATTGTTTAATGTTTAGAATTGATTGATCACAGATTAGTGACCAATATCGTACTTGTCTAGTCTCAGTACTGAGTAAGTTTTACTGAACGAGTCATAATGTGGCCACTAGTTTGTGTGACTGGACATCGCATGAACTACGTTGAAATGCAGGCCAGTAATTACCGGGTAAATAGTGGTATATATATATATATATATATATATATATATATATATATATATATATATATATATATATATATATATATATATATATATATTTGTTTATCTATGCCACTGTATTTATTTTTCAGTATGTTATGAAGTTCAGATAGTAATTTTATTCGTAAACGTTTTGTTATTAACCTGTTGTCAATAAATAATAAACTTTAAACAATTTTAGTTGGGAATATGTACATTACAGGAAGAAATACATTTTTTGTAACAAAATTTTGAAAATAAACTCGTTAAAATGGTCAGTCTGTAACAACGTAGAACTTCGTACGTAAGTACATCAGTTCGAGTTGCCATACCACATTAGCATAGAGATGCAGTTGTCGATTCAAATCCCTTAGCGTTAAAATGGATTTCTATTAACAAATACATGGATATATCCAAATTAACTATTCACAAATTAGTTATGCCTAGTATTATCTTTCTATTCACCTCAAAGTGTTTAAAGCCGATAATAAATTTAATATCTATTAAGTTATTTATATGTCATATACATCATAACTATTTCTTCATTTGAGAATAGATTCTTATTTATCTTTTTTTATCCTATTTTTTTTGTAGAATAGATATTGTCAATTCCTTTCGCAGCTTACTACAACAATTTTAATGGATATCTCTTCTTGTTGTTGTTGATTGTTTTACGAACTAGTTCTCGAAATAGATCAGATCGTTTGTAGATTATAACAGTAACTGTAAATTTGATGATTGATAGTGTCTTGGAATTGTTTTTGTAAATAAATAAGTTACATGAATAAAACTGTATATACTAATTGTATTTCAAGTTTTGTATTTTAAAAGGGTAAACAATCTATCCTATGAATTTTTCAAAAATTGAAATGTCAGATTTCTGACTTAATCAGTGTAGACATTTGATTTTCTGTTTATTTAAAGATTCGTAAATCATTCTCCACTTTGATTTAAATGATATTGCTAGTTTGTATATAATACATGGTTCATGATTTTTGAGTTTTACTTCCAGTTAGTCATAAACAACGTAGAACCTGACAATATTTACATCGGTCAAAGTTGCCATATCATATCCCCTCAGCGACATAAATGTCACAGTACTAGGAGTATTAACAGTGTCATTATTAGTAGTAAGGTTTACACATAGGCGATATGATTAGGGAAGAAAGGGTGAATTCATGGAGTAAAAAACATATGAGATAATTTTCAAACTCAGCATTTAAGAGAAAACAAAGAATGAGTGCCAGTCTGTTCCACTGTGACCGATTGCGCTCAATGTTACCCATAAGTGAAAATATAATCAAAATAATATAATTTTGAAATGATAAGATTATACAGATATTTGTGATAGGGAGGCGTCCATATGACATAGCTCCCTCCCAGTATTCTATGTTTCAAGAGTTGATAAAAATTGTCAATGAGTACATGCTTTATTCACATTACGATACTGGTTTTCGAACATTTGGGGTATCATTATACACAGCTCAGTCTCGTTCTCCTTATTTCAAGAGCCCACTTAAATGTGTTTCATGGGACTTATTAGCTCATATGTGTTAAAATTGAGAAGTAACTTCTCTATATTATTCATTCTTATAGTCTACTTATTTACGTTTCCTATATAGTGTTTCGTTTGTGTGTTATAATAACTCTTCACCTGATCACTATTCGTACAGTTATTCTGTTACGAAATGTGGTCCATTTCAGCCTCAATACATGCCCCCAACGCTTGAACGGCCTAACTCAATGGAGGAGAAATACGTGACTGTCCAAAACCAAATACTGCATGAATAATCCCGGTATTTACAGGTAAGTAAAGTGGCACTTAAATAAGTGGTGAGCATGCCTGAGAGATCAGTAGTCCCATTACGGTCTGAGATGATTACACTATTCGAAAACCTAACGAGTTATATTTTATGATGATTGAATTGCGAATTTGTGGTTTAAGTAAGCTCTGTTTTCCTCAATGCTTGATTTATTATCATTTGCATATGTTGTCAGGACGATGGCATCAATGTTACATTAAAAGACCTGTTTTAGAATTTATTCACAAGCCACCTTTTGGAAACTTTTTGTGAGTAATAGTCAACCTAGCTACATAAGTACGGTTCTAAAGTTTCCGTGTATCGTTCTTTTGTTGACGAATGAACATAACATTTTTAAGAAACTTAACCTTGTCACACTGATGAAACTAGTAATGTAACTTTACCGCTAGATATTGCATCGGAATATGAGTTGTAACAATATGACAGTACATTTTTGTCTTATTGTTCCTCAGTCGATTCATACGACGGACTACAATGCAAAGTCGTGTATGGGGGAAAGCTGACAGATGTATTCCATGTAAAGACAAGCCCGATTATTCTCGCCCCTTTACTTCTTTCTGATATTCAATCGGATTATGAAGGTCTTCACACATCAGAGAAGCATGGAAGACAATAGACAGCTTTGATGCTGCTAGACGATTCGGACATTGCAGATGACCTAGCTTTCCTATCCCATACACACCAACAAATGCAGGTGAAGGTAGCCAGTATAGCACCAGCCTCTGCCGAAATACTCTTCAACATATACAAGGGAATGAGCAAGATCCTCAAATACAAAATAGAGAACGCCAACACAATCACATTTGATCGAGAAACTCTGGAACGAGTTGAAACGTTTACATACCTGGTTAGCATCATCGATGAACAAGGAGGATCCGATGCAGATGTGAAGGCACAGATTGATAAAGCGAGGACGGCATTCCTACAGTTGAAAAACATATGGAACTCAAAACAACTGTCGGCCATCATCGAAACCAGAATCTTCTATGCGATAATTATGAAAGTCTTACTATACGGAGCTTAAACATGGAGAACTACTACAATCATCATCAAAACAGTACAAATATTTATAGACAATTATCTACGGAAAATATTTAATATCCTTTGATCGGATACCATCAACAGCAGCCTACTATGGGAGAGAACAAACCAGCTTCCAGTTGAAGAGAAAAAGACGCTGGTGGTTGATAGGACATATATTGAGGAAGTAATCAAACGGCATCACGAGGTAAGCGCTAACTTGGAATCCTGTATGGAAACGGAAAAGAGGAAGGCCAAAGAACACACTGGGTTGGGAATCGGAAGTAGACATGGAAAGGATAAATTGCAACTGGAAAAGATTACCTAGGACAGGGTTGGATGGATAGAGCTGATGAGTGACCTATGCTCCTCGACGATGGGTAACAAGCGTAAGTAAGTAATCTATGGATGAAATTTATGTGTACAGAAGAAATACGTGACCCCCCTATCCCTTCCATGGCCGGTTATAACTTAACTAACAATTATTTATTTATTTTTTTTTTAAATTTTATTATTATCATTATTTATTTTATTCTATTTGTGTTATCGTTAACCTTACTTCCACATCCATTATTTGTTTGTAATATTCCGCCTCTTGCCGTTTGTATTCTTCACTATCTAATTATTTACACACATCTTATTACGTAATGATTTTAATGTTTTGTGATTACTATTCCTAGTCTATTTACCCATGTTTGTTTGACCTTCTATTTCCAACGCTTAACTATTGATAAGAGTTTTGTTATTGTATTTTTTATTATTCTCACTATTATCAGTTCACCTGTCTTCCTACTATCAACTTGTACTTTTACCTATTATGTGTAGTGACTTATTCTATGTCATAGTGATTATTGACTCATATTGCCTTGATTGGTTTAAAATTTTCGTATAAATATTCATGTATATTAGATTAAAGCCTGATGACGATCTAATTGAAAACAATTGTTCGCTTATATGTGTTGTTCTAATTTCCACAATGGGAATCTTTAATATTCTAAAATATCATATTCTCAAGAATCCCTTATCTTCAATGATAACCTCATATCAAAAATGTGAAGAATAATTTGGAATATTACTGAATTCCTGAAGACTTTAAAAAAAATATATTCCTTAGTAAATTGAGTAATAACCGAAAATAAAAATTCTCCCCCCCCCAGTAATTTTCTATCTAAATTTATCTTTATTAATAGAATAATAATGGTAATAATAAATTACATAGAAATGATTTAGACAACATCAATTAAATTAGATTCGAATATGGAAACAATAAAAGTTATTTAGTTCTTTTTCAAAACAATTAAGATAAATTATTCTAAATAGATACAAATCTAATGTTTCTGTATCGAATTTTTTAACTACAAAATATAAGAGCAAATTTTTATTTAACTTTCATGTATTTCTATTGTTCGATTGAACCGAAAATGAACTTCTCAAAAACAAAAACAAAGTTTCATGTTAACAATATTCTATAGTGATTAAGTATAAGTAGTTATATAGTTATAGAAATGGACAATCCTAATCACTTCCCATGATCATGTTCTTAAGTTGTTAGTCATTTAGCTACTGAACAACATTTAAGTAGTTTAACATTGAAGAATCAATGGTTGGTTCCGACACCAAATGCATTGGTTAAAACAAGATTAAATTGAAGAATTGATGATAAAATACACTGAAAGTCGAACTGAGGAGGCTTTTCAGTGTATTTTATTATCAATTCTTCAATTTAATCTTGTTTTAACCAATGCATTTGGTGTCGGAACCAACCATTGATTCTTCAATGTTAAACTACTTAAATGTTGTTCAGTAGCTAAATGACTAACAACTTAAGAACATGATCATGGGAAGTGATTAGGGTTGTCCATTTCTGTAACTATATAGAGACTAATTATTGATATCATTGTCAGTGATAGTTTCTAATCAACCATTATTTCAAAATTCAATTCATCTTTATTGGCATTTTGAACATTGGAAATTGCACATTTAACCAAAATAGCGACGCTTTTTTTAGGTGCTTTAAATTCCACAGCAACTAATGGGCCAAGATAACCCGCTTGTCCAAGATATGGATAATAAGCACTACTGAATACCCCACTAAAGAACAGAGAAAAAAAGACAACGAAAAAAAACAAAAATAATTTGGAGAAGAAGTTATTTTTCGGTCAAAACATTTAATATACAAACTATAAACAGGCTAATATCACGATAATATAGGAGTATAGAAGTGAGAAGGCTAGAGAAATTTTTTTCTAAAATTGATTATTCGATAATTTACTAGTGAATACTACTCCTAGTTTGTTTGTAAACACCATGGTGATTGTAAACCTATTGATTGGTTCAAGTTATTAAATCATTTGTGGACTTTTCTGACGGTTTTTTCGCCTGTTGTATTTTTCATTATAACGAAAGTAAGAGGATTTTATTTTACTTTTTTATATTAAGTAAAGTAGAGTAGATGAATTGTAACCTGAAAGTAAATAGTATAATGAAATGAGTGGTTTGAACCTTTAAAGACGAATATATTGAGTGATTGTGACCCATTTAATTTACTCGACTGTTGTCAAAAGTAAGTTACATAAAAACAATTGTTTGGAATGAAAATTATGGATATTTGGGTTTTCTTCTAAAAAAAAAGAAAAGATATGTATTGACTTATGGTGGGTAAAACGATATATTTTACTTTGGAGGCTGATTTTTTTCCCTAAATTTCAATGACCAACTGGGATATTGAATAAAGTCGAAATAAACTGTTAGGTCAAGAATGAAACTGAAAATATTAACTTCCAGAAGAAATTCATAATCACATTACGATTTTCATTATAATAATACGTTAGTATTGTGTATGCCCCGAAATGCCCTGGCACGGCCGAGAGTGCGGAGAGTCAGCTCTCCCTCTCGAAACGCTCTCACATGGCCACGCGTATATAGCCACTGTCAGGGCAGTCCTACTCACTACCTTCTCGTGGCTGGGGTGTTGTTTACGAAATAGAGAGGACGAAAAAAGAATGTCCGGTGGGGACTTGAACCGTGTTGGTGGGCATGGAGAGTCCACCTAGGGGAGTTGGAAAACCCTGATTCCAAACGAATGGTGCACATGGGCTCCAGTATACTGAAGGAACAAATGGCGTGTAAACCAATCGTTGGTCACTGGCTACCATG